TCAGAAATTCCACTTTGTGGTTGCAGTGTTTGCGATCAATTTGAGTAGATCTCGTGGCGTATCTGTCCATGTGGTGCTGCTGTCCTTCTCGTTTCATTCTCCGGCCAAGATTCGTCTGAATTTTCAAGCTGCTGTGCTAGCGAAGCGATCAATTTGACCGGATTTATTTCTGTGCAGGGACGATCTGGAGGAGTACACGGTTGGGCTGGACAAGTACAGCGACATGCTCAAGGAGCAACTCCTGGACGACTCCGTCCCCGCGCGCGCGCTCGTGCCCATCGCCGGCGAGAGCAGCATTGGCAAGACGACGCTCGCCCGGAAGGTGTACCAGAGCCTCGAGGTCCGCAACCACTTCGAGATCCGCACGTGGACGGTGCTCCCGCACAAGTGCCGCGCCGCCGACGTCCTCCGCGACATCCACCGGCAGATGACCAACCAGCTGCGGCGGGCCCCTTCCGCGTCCAAGCAGGCCGCGGAAGACGCCTGCGACGGCGACAAAGCCATCGGAACGGGAAAGGACATCAACAACCAGCTTCACAAGAGCATGACGGGGTGGCGGTACCTCGTGGTCGTCGACGGCAGCGTGTCCGTCACGGACTGGAACAGCCTGCGAGCCTCCCTCCCCGACGAGGGCAACGGCAGCAGGGTGCTCCTGATCACGGACCCGGAAGGCCTGGAGGTGGTCGGCCTCGGCCACGCTGGCCACACGTACGACCCGATCGAGCTGACCCGGCTGAGTCCGGAGAGCACGTACGAGGTGTTCCGGCGCCGGGTGTTCGGCGCCCGCGGCGACTGCCCCGGCCGGTACAAGTCGAGGTACTACCAGGACGTGTTCCGGATCACGCGCGGCCTGCCGCTGTCTATAGTCGTCCTCGCCGGGATCCTGCGGTCCAAGGAGCTGCCGGCGGAGTGGGACGAGGTGATGGCGCAGCTGGCCCCGCCGGCGCGCGAGCAGCAGCACAGGGGCGGCAGCAGCAGCAACAGCTGGCCCCGGATCATGTCGCGGGCCTTCGACGACCTGCCGCACCACCTCAAGTCGTGCTTCCTCTACCTGGCGGCGATGCGGGAGAGCACGCCCGTGGACGCGCAGCGCTTGGTGCGCCTGTGGGTGGCCGAGGGGTTCGTGCGCCCGCGCCGCGGGAGCACCATGGAGGAGGTCGGGCAGGGGTACCTCAAGGAGCTCATCTCCCGCTGCATGGTGCAGCTGGTGGACAAGGACGACTTCGGCGCCGTGCAGACGGTGGTGGTGCACGACCGCCTGCAAGCCTTCGCGCAGGACGAGGCGCAGGAGGCCAGCTTCATCGAGAGCCACGACAGCACCGACGTGCTCGCGCCTGCCACCGTGCGCCGCCTCGCTGTCCTCAACTCCACCACGGACAGGTACGTGCAGCTCAGCAACGCGCTCCCCAAGCTGCGCTCCATCATCTGCGACTTTGTGGAGGTTCGCCGAGTCAGGTCGTCCAGCAACATCATCCACACCGGCGACCTGGGATTCCTCCATGCTTCCAAGTTCCTCCGTGTCATTGACATCCAGGGGCTCGAGCTCAAGAAGCTCCCAAACGAGATCGGCTCCATGATCCACATCAGGTACTGATCGATTCCGAAACACTGGAGTAGGAGTAGCGGAGATGAGATTAGAGGCTAGATTAATGTTTGGTCACGCGTTTTGGTATGAGCAGGTACCTGGGTCTCCAATGCGGCGACTTGGAGAAGCTCCCGAGCACCATAGGCAACCTTGTCAACCTGCAGTCGCTCATCCTCGGCGGTCGGCACGTCCTGGAGGTGCCCGCCGCGTTCTGGAGGATCCCCACGCTGCGGCACGTCGTCGCGCTGTTCACTCTGCCGAGCAGGGCCCTGGGCGACCTGCACAGCCTCCAGACGCTCCACGGCGTGCGTCCCCGCGGATGGGGCGGCGATTACAACCCGCTGGGGAAGGCCGCCAACCTCCGGTCGCTGGAGCTCCGCGAGCTGACCGCCGAGCACACCGATGCGCTTGAGGCCGCGCTGGAGAGCCTCGACCTCCTAGAGCACCTGGAGCTGCGGGGCGATCCGCTGCCGTCGAGCGTGTTCAGTATCCCGAGCCTCCGCCGGCTGCAGAGCCTGAAGCTGATAGGCGCCATGGATGCGCCGGAGGGGCCCAGCGGCGGGGAGGACGTCCGGTACATCCGGCCGAACCTGACCAGGCTGTCGATGTGGAACACCGAGGTGGGGCAGAAGTTCGTGGACATGCTGGCCGAGCTGCCGAACCTGGCCGAGCTCACGATGATGTACGACGCCTATGACGGCGATCGGCTGGCGTTCGTGGAGACTGGGTTCCCGAGGCTGCACAAGCTGAAGCTCGGCCTAACGAAGATGGAGGAGTGGACGGTGAGCCCGGAGTCCATGCCGGGGCTCGCCATGCTGACGCTGTTCCGGTGCGCCAAAATGCGGATGCTCCCGGAGGCTCTCGCTGGGATGACGGAGCTAGAGGAGGTGGTGCTGTACAGCATGCCCGACATCGTGGAGAGGATCAAGGAGGGCGAAGGCCAGGATTACCACAAGGTTAAGCACGTACCCGTCATCCAGACTATATACTGATCATCACCATCTGGTGAATGGTGATGGCTCGTTGTCAACACTGCTTCAGCTCAATGATGACACGATGAGGCGAGGACATTGCAATTCAGAGTGTTAATGTCACTGTGTAGACATATTAGGGCCCATTTGGTATTTGTCCAAGGTTTGCCACCCCTATTTAGGCACTTATATGATCTATGCCAATTATAATTTTCGTGTTTTTAGGATATATATGTCATTACTATTCGCCTACTTGTAAATTTACCATTATCTCTACCTCACCCGTACCGTTTTCTACGTTTAGGACCATGTCAGTACCACATGCAGGCCACTGTATTTCCGTATGGCCTAAAGTACCCCTGTCATTTTTTGTCTCTCTACTCACTGCCCTAAAGGGCCCACACGTCATCCCCTCTTACCTTTCTTCTTCCTCCTTCCACCGCTGTTCGCCTGCACGGGCTGCCGCCCACCCTTCCCGTCGCCGCCCGCCTACACGGGCTGCGTGAGGCCCTGATCTCGAGCTCTCCGACGCCACGCGCTGGACCTGCGCCGCGCTCCGGCGGACAATCGCCATTGGTGGGCCGCGAGATGGATCCAGCTGCCATCGTGCCAAAGGAGGCGAGCTCGGCTCACGCGCGGATCCGCCCATCGCCAAGCCAAGGGCGACAAGCACGTCATGGATCTAGGATGAAAGCGCGAGTGGGGGGCGGAGGCTGACGGCGCCGGTTGCCGGAGTGGAGGGCGCTGCTGGAAGCGCCTGTGGGGGGCAGAGGCCAACGTGCGCTTGTTGTCGGAGTGGAGGAAGGCGAGGGGGAGTGCCGTAGGGGAGGAGGATGGGGCCTCGGGCTCCGGTACGGAAAAGGATGGCGCGAGCGTGGGAGCCTGCTCGCCTGCTCCATGGCCGCCTGCCCGCCATGGGAGCTCGAGGGGGAACAAAAGAGAGGGAAAGGAGAAGATGGATGGGGACCAGAGAGGAAGGGGATAAGGCATGGGCCCATTTGTAAGTGAGTAAGAGAAAGACTAGCAAGGGCATTTCAGGCCATACGAAAAATATGTATCAACATATACGTCTTTCACGTGGGTCCAATGTCATTGGAGACGTATAAAATGGCATGTTCAAACAATACGTGAATTGTAATGACAACCTTCTAAATAGACAACTAGTAATGTCATATCTTATAAGCACATAAATTATAACAAAATGGATCACAAAACCCTATATTATTCCATTCACTTCTATATTTTAGGTGCTTGATATTGTTTGTTTAGACAACATGGTTTTTTTATTGTTTGACTATAGAAAAAATAAGTTGTCCCCTGTGATTTGTCCTTTTAATTATAGGACTTGTTGGTTGTCTTTGTATGAAAACTCAAGCATATGAAATATAGCAACTCCATTATTATTTAGTAAATCTGTTTTCTGATAGTGGTGGATGGTTAGATGCGAATTTGGGGGCACTTTATATTGTTTTTCTTAATTTCACATATGGGGTCACCTTAGAATTTTTTGATAACGGTGGAGGTGCTAGTTTAAATAGTTGCAAATTCTTACGAATGTGTGGTGGGGAGGGGAGTGTTTAGCTTATTTGTCAATATACTGGTTCGTGTATATAGTTTAGACATTGACTTGTGTTACTTTAGGTTTGTTAGATATAGACTTAATGGGTTATTTTTGGGATTTTCAGAATGGTAAACGTGACCATACACATGAATAAAAATAGGATGCATTGGATGCATTAATGTTAATAGTGATCATAGTCTCCCCATGTTTTTATATTTTTTGATGAATTGTAATACTTGTCTATTTTGTGATAATTAACGAGGAAGCTTTAAAAGAAGCCTTCGATTAGTAACAATAACGTGAATTCGCTATATATATAATTGAGCGTAGCACGTGCCTTTTATATACTATGCATACAAGTAATGCTAAGTGGATTAGTTCTTAATTAGTTGACTATTGTTTTGGAATGAATCACTTTTGGTGTATTGCTCATAGCATTCACAAAATATAATGTCTAACTGCCGTATACAGTTTGGGCGGTAACCTCCCCACTCCAAATATCTCATCACAAAAACAAACTTGAGTCTTGAGTCTAATACTAATATTAATCTATATCAGTATCTATATCTATACCTATATTTTTAGTGTCATATCTATATCTATATTATTTAATGTCATATTTATATCTATATCTGTATCTGTATCTATATCTATATCTATATTTTTAGTGTCATATTTATATTTGGGAATATCTATATCTATATCTACATCTACAATTTTTTAGTGTCATATCTATATCTATATCTATATCTATATCTATATCTATATCTATATCTATATCTATATTTTAGTATCATATTTATATCTATATCTATATCCATATATATCGCTCTATATCTATGTATATATCCTATCTTACTTTTTCAAGGGTGTGTGTTCTTCCATGGCGGACTTCCAGACGGACCTATCGAAGAGGATCGACGACGTGGAGGCTGCTCTCGGTGCCCGCTTTACCACCCTAGAGAACGCCCACAAGTTGTTCGACGATTGGCGTCCCCGAGTGGATGCGACCATCGACGACTTTCGCGTCGAGCTAGGTGCGATGCGCAAGACTATGAATCGAGTGGTTCCTGATTCCAAGGCTGCTTCATCGGCAGGCCTCCTCACCAAGACAAAGATGGCTGCGGCGCCAACATCCGCCGGTAACCCAGTCATCGGCCCTAATGGGCACCGCGTCGACAAACATCACCGGGGGGCTGGGTTTCAAACCCGTCTCCCGGTCAAGGGTACGTGTGGTTTCCTTGAACCCAAGCTCATTCGGTCTATATCTCATTCATTGTTGGAGGGTTTGGGTCATCATCTGGTGGGTCCATGTAAGAGGGGTGAAAGAAGTGTATGGATCTGAATCCTCCTATCTCCAGTAGAGACCTCGGCTGAACCTACCTCTTTTCTACTTTCTTCCCAAAATTTCCTTCCTCGATTACCTGGTTGTTAACAAAAACCACACCATTGACTAACATATATTTACTTGTCCACGTCAGAGTGCTACATCATCCATTAACATACTTATGATATTTATCCATTCATATAAGTAATTATATGTAGTATAGTTTTATCTGTGATTCCCGTAGCAACATGCGAAGTATTCATGTAGTATTAAGAAAAAAAATACATGGCTATTTTGAAAATTTTGCATACATTTTATATCTTTTAGAGTGTTTTTATATGCTCAACCTACATCCTATAGATGGTGTGTCCAGTGTGGCAGTGTCCACCATCACGGAATCCACCATCACTTCCGTGTTAAATTAGTGTAACGTTGGCTTTCCCAAATTACTGTCCCGGCATGGAACAACTTTTGTAAAAGACAATTCAAAGTATTGCGATCAAATAAAAGTCCCATAAAAGTTTTTATATTAAACATGCATTTGGTTTATAGGCTTTGTTCGTTTCTCTTATAATCCGTTTTTAGCTTGTTTTTTTTTTCCAGGCGGGACAGTGTTTTTCTCTCACAACAAATCAGCCGGAACAATGTTTGGGCTTGTTTTTTTCAGCGAAGCGAACGGGGCCATAACTTTTTTGGATGTCATGTATCGATACCAACTCACCCCAACATACATGAATCAAGGTAGATACATGCGCATCAAAGAAGGCCTTAGGGATTGAAATGGGTTAGACCCATGTATTGAGAATAGTCGTCTTTGGATAAAAACAAATTGAAACGTGGAGGCGTGGAAAAGAAAATTTTAGTCCGAGTTCTCTATACTGAAACGGGGAGCCAAGAATTTTACTCTAATTTGTTGTTCCAATTTAGTTGATTAGAAGTAGACAAAATTTTCACCTGCATTTAGTGCTCATTCAAAACAAAAAAAAACCGTATAAATTTTTCATACAAATTATTTCAATTTCACGAGAAAAAACACAAATTTCAAAACAAATTCCATGTATTCCAAAACTGCCTTAGCCAGCCGACACATTGGTAGGCACCCGGCGGAAACATCCAAACACACCCAAATGCCAAACATGTCCGCCTAAAGCTGCAAGCCGAGCACGAGCAAGCCATGGTACAACTTCAGATTCCACGTCGCAAGCCGTGGCTGGGACGATGAGATGTAGTGCACGTCACTGCCGATGTGGACCGCATCCGGCGCCCACCCCGACGTCACGGCACCGCAATAGCAGCAACAGGCAACGAAATCGGGGGGGGGCAGCCGCGTAGGTGCACATGGTCACCCCACGTTTCTCCCTCGTCTCCAACGGGCTATACGGTGACGACTGGCGAGAGATATATAGGGTGTGATTGGTTGCTTTTGTGAGGGGGAGCCGAGATGGAGAGCCGGTCCAGGATGGTAAGATGCATGCTTAAATCGTGCACTCAGTCGTGTTTGGTTGTCTTTGTTGTTGGTCCAGTATGAGATGAGATCTTGTTTGATTACATGCATGGATGAGAGTTTTGAGTGTATGACACATGGGTCCCTGTGTCATGCCTGAATCAAGCCATTCTGTATGGAGATGGAAGTGAAAATTGAGAAGATGAAGTTGTGCGGGATAGAGGAAGACAGATGAATGAAAGGATACCAGCGAAAGATAAAAAAAGCAACTAAATATGTCGCATGAATGAGGTCTGACATCGAAACGGTGCGGGGACGACCCGATTCGACCTACCGGTCACGCCCGTAGAGAAGGGCGGGAGCCCAAAGATAGATAGCAGTCAGCGCCGCGGCGCGGTCCGCTGCCTGCTGGAGATAGTCAGTTGGATACTTGATACAGATAGTGAGAGAGACGATCCGCACCGCAGGCAGGCCCGCCGCGCAGCCCAGCAGGATCCATCCAATTCCATCCACCTCACCTCGCGTCGTCGTCCACCTCACTCTTCCCCTCTCTGACTCTCTTCCTCGCCGCAGGTCACGCGCGCAGGCAGGCGCCGACTAGTATCTGACGTATATCTCCTTCCTCCGCCCTCCCTCCCCCCCCCGTGCACCGGCCCCTCTCTACAAATCCCCGATTAAACCCTAGAATTCCCCCCAATGTGCGCCCCCTCCTAGGTGGCGCCCCCCGAATTCGGCGCCGGCTCCGCGGAAGGTACGGGATCTCTCGCGCCCCGCTCCCTCTCCTCTTGCGCTGGCTTTGATCTTGCTCGGAGCTCGCCGCGCCCCCGCGCTGTGTAGTTCGCTGCCGGCTCTGGGATAGGAACCGCCGCTGCTGCTTTGGGATGCTCGTGCGTGGGAATTTCCCCTGATTCGGTTTGGTTTCGTGCCGCGCTGGGATGGTTTCAGCCGGAGTCGGGTCGGGGCCTCGAATGATTTTTACTTGTTTGATTAAGCGGCTGCTTGTTCTTCTCTGGGTTTCTTGGAGTGATGTTGTGTGCTTCTCAAGCTCAGCTCCTGCGCGATGTCTGAAGCTGCAAGGTTTTGGTCTGGCGTCGACGACGGTCATGCCATGTGCTGCTCGGGTAGTCGGGTCTTGTCTAGTCACAGTCTCTGCTTCTGCTTCTTCTGATGCTCTCCACTCTACAGGACAGAACTCCAGGTCTGTCATAACGAGAGGCAGTTCTCATTACGGCTTGCCTGGCTCGGCATCCTTTCTGGGGCTGCTTTTACTGCCTTATCGAAAAGGCTCGAATTTTGTTGCCATCTTTTGCAAAGCCAGAATAGGACTCTAGCTACTAGTGTCGGCTATCAATGTCTGGTTGTTGAGTTGGGAATGGATTTTTATTTGGCTTCCAGGTCCCTCTGTGGTTTAGTACCTTTGATCCTGGTTTTTAATGGTTTCGTTTTGAGAACCTGAATATTAGTTGCAGTTACAATGTCAGAAACAACACACAAGAATATTCAATTATTTTACCGCTTTGTTTTTCCATGATTATTCCATATTCCAGACATTATTTCAGCATGAAGTGATTTGTGGACTGTAGTTAATATTGGCTTCCCAATGTTACGTGTTTTGCAGGTGTGCAAGCCAGGGTGCATACAATGAGTGCGGGTTTCAACAAGCAGATATTGGCTCAGAAGCTTTCGAAGCTTAATAGCTCACAGCAGAGCATAGAGAGTATCCTTCTTGCCAGTTTCTCAATCCCCATTAACTTAACGCTTTCTTTTCTGCATGAAGTATTTTTTATCTTAACTTCTCATATGAGTTATTTTCATATTTTATTGGCTTGTATAGTTGTTTGGTTTGCAAAGTTCAAAATCATAGCTTAAGATTACAGGGAAAAAAGGTAGTTTTATTGTATTAACATTCCAGATCACTGTGTTAATAAATCACATTCAGTTGATGACCTTTCATGCTTCATTGTGACCAGTTCGTAGCATTATGCTTGTCATTCGCTGCCCCCTGCTCAAGATTGCTACCTACTATTGCTGACTGTGATTATTTTCTCATGTGCTACATTATTTTACCCATTCACGTAATGTCATCCTTAACAAAAGAAAAGCTTTATCAAATTGGTGTGTCTTTCATCATCGTTACTGCCAACAAGTTGTACAAACATGGGATTGCGAGTTCCATGCAGCTCCTGTAGAGAGGAGGGTATCTTTGCTGTACCTTGCAAATGATATTATGCAGAATAGCAGAAAAGAAGGCAATGGATATATAACTGAATTCATGAGGGTCATCCCTGCTGCCTTGAATGAAGTGTTGACTGTCAGAGATGATTTTGGGCGGAATGTCCCAAAAAGACTGGTATGTTGTACATGTCATTGATATCTATATTCATGCAAGTGCATTATTACTCATGTCGTTCAAATTGTGGTTTTAGTTATCATCATAACAGAAGGGCAGGCCTAGTGCAGTGGTGAGAGCTGTCTCACTGAGTCACCAAGTCGTGGGTTCGAAGCAGCCTCTCCGCAGATTTTGCGGGGGGAAGGCTTGCCTCGGTTTTTTCCTTCCCTAGACCCCACTCACGTGGGAGCCTCCGACACTGGGTCTGCCCTTTTTTTAGTTATCATCATAACAAATATGCTAACAACTTCGTGTCCATATCTATGTGCTTACTTTAAGGGCAAGGTTATTAGAATGGTAGTCGCTATGCTTACTACTTGATATTTTTATTCTAGATACTCTTTGGGCACAAGATACACAAAGCATGCGAGGGTTCATGAATAGTATTTCTAGCCTCTAGGAATTGGTTCAAAAAAACAATCATGTTCCTGTCTTCACTCCTCTCAATCACTTTCTTTCTCTTAAAGCAATTGGGGTTGGGGAATTCAGTGCTTGTGTCGCATAGTGGTGATGAAGAAAGGTGGTGTAAAGTATGGAGAACATGAAAGCCCACTCTTCGCCTTAACTTTGTTGGCATGTCATCGATTCAGAAGTTGGCATATCATTGTCATGGCTGTCATTGTGTTTGGGGACTCATGTCAAGATACTTTAGCAGAGCATCATGCTAACGATATGAGCTAGGCCGACGGTGGTTGGTGTTTTTTTGGGGGATGAGGGGGGAGAAGGGCAACATGACTCTCTCCCTTCCTCGCTCTCAATCCCTCACTCCTTCCCTGGTGTATGTTGTTGAATAGATGGTCATAGGAAGCAAGCCTCGATAGGGCACCTATGCTAACACTTAGATGAGACACTTAGAAGGGGCGAAGGGCATTGCACCATCGAACTCGCTTAACAATGGCCTTTCGGTGGGCTCATGGACAAACCTGTTGCATCCTGGTGTTCAATGCCCTAGGTTCATTGCCTCCATAACTTGGACGACGTGGGTCGATGTTTGGGACGGTAGGTGGGATGACATATTGATTCTTGAATGTTGCCATGATAGAGCCGTACGGGTTCATACTCTAGATCCCAGTTAGATGGAGAACTTTGATTAGGGTGGTGCGCTTGCATGTCTCCATGCAGGTGCTGCAGTGATCAAGGTTGGGAGGCACACTCGGTGGAGGAAGGATTGGCAGTGGTGTCATGGTATCTTGTTGTCTATGGCGGTGTGAGATCTCGGTTCTTAGTGCCGACATCACGCATGAGTGATTAGCTAGCGTTGAGCCCAACAAACTAAGTGTTGCTTGGATGTCTTGTATGTTGGACATGCAAAGGCTAGATTGCAAGCTTATTTATGTGGAAAAAAGCGAAGGGGATGAAGGAGTGTTTTTTGTTATTGCTCCTTTTTTTTACAAGAACTTTTTTGAGGAATGATCCACAACTTCTGTTTTGACTGGTTGTTAATTTGTTCAATAGGCTTGTAGGCGGGGCAGGTAATTACCGCAACCCGCTAACCCCGTCCCGCAAAATCATGCTTGTGGCTCATGTGGAGTAGCTACAATTGTTTTGCGGGCCAAACTACCAATCCTGCAAGTGGCTTTGGTCCGCAAGCGGTTGTTCTCCACGATTAGAAAGCCTCCATGATGTCCGCTTCGCCTACCTAGCTCCGATCCCCTCGAGTCTTAGCTTCAAGACGCAGGTATTAAGCATGCTTGTCGCTACTTCAAATCAACGCAGGAGCACACACAGAGGAGCACAGAAGCTGAAAATTTGTTCGCATGTGCTGTGATCTTGCTAATGGCGGGCGTCATGAGGCAGGTGAGGCACTCATTGAGTCGGGCGTCTTCTGCGGCGGGGTGTCTGCGCCGACGGGGCCACACACACTGCAGCTGGCACGCATCAAGAAGATCATGAAGCGCTTCGTGGGGGAGACTGTGGATGGTGGCGACAAGATGATCTCAAGTGAGGTTCCCGTGGTGTTCTTCCAGGCCATCGCCGAATTCAAGTGCTGCCCTGGGCGGCCATGTTGTCTGGACTGTGCACAACACCAACCTGTTCGACGTCCTCATCCAGGTCGTCATAGTGGACAACACGGGGTTCGGCGGGCACTATGACGGCGACAAGCAGGGTGCTCAGAATAACTTGCATGCGAACAGTATGCGGCTTGCCGCAAAGTCCGCAAAACACTAGCGGTTCCATGCAGGTTTGCCGTAAATCCCGTGAGGACACTTGGCGGATAGCCGCGGACGAGCCTGCTTGCAATGCTATTGTTCGATGAAATTCAATTGAGGCATGTATCCCCATGTGATCTCCTAAATTTTTGAACCTTGTTGAGGATTGATCGTCAAACCGTTGTCCAAATAAAATTTGATTCATGTGCTGCGCAACATGCTACAAATGGTAGTTTGGATTTCCATTTTGACCTTGTATTGACCTAGCAACATGGAATAGGTAGGTTCTCATGGATTGCGCTAATTGGATGCCAAGTGGTGCTACTTGGCCATTCTTCAAACAATTAATTGTTTTGTACATCCTTTGAAGGAACAATCACTCCTACACTTGGAGTAATTGTTGTCTTCTGTGTGCAATTTTCTCGTTAATTGTGAATTGAGATGCTCGATCCGTCACATTACCTATCCATGTGACATTTTAAGCACAACACTTTTTGTCGATGAATGAAGATTGTAGCATGTATGTTTGAAGCTTGCAAAGTGTCCACTCAATATAGTGGAATTTCCTCTTTCATCAAAAGTCCAAAAGTATGAATCACAAGCACTTGATCTTGGTGTGCCATTTCTCTATAAGAAGCTTCGTCATCAATTGGTGTCACAATTGGGGTTGCCTACACACCCAGATTGTCTCGCCATCGAATGACTGGATGTGGTGGTGGCATTAGGTCCACGATGTGGGCTAGTGAGGCTTCAACTCATGTGTACTTGTCCCCTGGCTTTATGGAAGGATCGTAGTCACGCATGATCTTTTCCATCTTCGTAATGATTTTGGCTAGGATTGGTGCCATCGGAGCTAAGAAAGATCTCTTTGGTGTTGTCGAGGGCCAAGTGCTAGCCATGGTATAGCTCCGAGCCAAGACTTCAACATGCCCAATGCCCGAGGAAGGGCTACGTGAGGGCGTGCTTCATATGTGAACGCCACAAGTCGGAGCACTTGCAACCTTTGCCAATCCCAGAATCAATGTGGTCTGATGTCACGATGGACTTCATTGAGGGACTTCCCAACGTCGATGGCAAATCGGTGATCCTCAACCTTGATTGATCAAGGACTTACCAAGGTCGGTGGTTGATAAGTGATCCTCAACCATGATTGATTGGTAGAGACGGTGGCCTGATTGTTCTTTGTCGAGGTCATCTTCTTGCATGGATCCTGTCTTCCATTTGTGTGGGACAAACCTTGTTTTCACTTCAGCTTTTCGAAAGGTGTTGTTCGATGCATCCGATTCCAAGCTTCAGATGAGCTCCGAGGCAATTGACAGGGTTATCGCCATGTACTTGCTATCTATGACAGTTGGTCGTCCTTGATAGTGGGTAAAGTGGCTCCCTTGGGCCCAATTCATCTACAACAATTACTACCACTCGACGCTCTGTGACGATGTTCTGGGTGTCAGTCTGCTCCTATGAATCGGGCAAGCTATGTGTCGTCTCGGCACCCTGTGCCATGCAAGAGTGTGACGAGTTCCTCGTCGACATCCACGACTGTCTCGAGCAAGCATAGCACATTGCCAAGTAAAGTTATGACCGTGGCCATCGTGCGACATCCTTTGCTGTCGGGGATTGGGTGTGGCTTCGCCTTTGTCATCACGCACCTGTAGCAGTGACAACACCGGCATGTCCACCACAGAGCGCATGAAGGGAAGGTGCCAGGCAATTGACAGAGTCAAGATGTGTGTGTGTCCACCTGCGTGTGGAGGGTATCCAAGTAGGGCCTACAGATAATGTAAAACCAGCTATATAGCTAGGCACTTGTAAGAGGGAAGACAAGCTAGAACTGAGTAAAACTCAAATCGTGTTAAAGGAGACTTCCTCCTCCCCAAGTTATCCATGTTCGATCCTTGCCGTGATTACTCATGTCAATGACGGCCACGGGTGTTACAACACCCTTGTTTTCGATGGCTTCCAAGGGGAAGCTCCAGCCTTGCTTCGATGGCCCACATACAAGATCAACGCTCAAATCTGCCCAGTGGATTTCAAACTTGAGCTCCCAGCTGGTGCATGCATCCACGACGTCTTCCACATCGGCCTGCCCAAAAATTTCTTGGGTGATCCTCCTTAATGTAGTGGGAGAGTCCCACTGCAGTATCACCGCTCCACCATGGTGCGACCTCTCTGTTCATGAGCGAGCACTAAAAACGCGCTTGGCTCGCGGTGTTTGCCCACTATTGATCAAGTGTTTGGACCAACCTGACTCCACCACGTTGTGGGAAGACCTAGAGCTCTTCCAGAGGAAGTACCCCTCCTAGCCCGACGGAGCGATGTTATGTGGGGCAAGAAGAAAGAGCAAGAGAATGATGAAGGATCAGAGGAGTTGATCCAGGCGCTAGAAGGAAGGCACCATTAGTAATTAGGCTTGCCATTTGCTATTGATCTCTATTAGGATAATTCAGTGGAATTTAAACACATTCTACTTTTGGTTGAGTATCTAAAGGAGCGTTGTCAATTGGATAAGGCAAGCAAATAATTATTCCTAATTCTCCTCCCATCTTTGTGAGCTCTTCCTCTGTTAGTTCCGAGGAAGCAAGGCAAGGATATCGCCCTCCCGTCGAGCACCTTCACCAGCCACTCTCAAAACAAACAAGCACCCACAACAACGAACTTCTCAGCTTTTGCTATATAATGAATATGTCATCCTTTGGTCTACACAGGTTTGCTTATGCATTGTATGTAGCGACATGTGCACACCGTCAAATGGAAAACATGAAGAAAAGTACGGTTCATGAGCTCATTATGCTAAGTTCCTTGTGTGCCTTCGGTCGACCGGTCATCTACCCGTCACTGTGGAGAACGAGCGCCTCTTCGGTTGTTATCCTCTCCACTCCAACCCTAATTCCCGTGCCTCTGTACTTCCCCCCTTGCGCACTCATTAACAATGCCCTAGTAACGATCTTGATGCCATCATGGCCAAGCTGGATCGCATGCTGGCGTAGCTGACCACGATGAACAACCGCCTTGACAGCCATGATCACCAGATCACACGCACCGAAAAGTTCAAGATGAGCAGCGACTGCAAGGTGGAAGGTGGTGCCGATAAGACTCCATCAGCGTCTGCACGATGTCTCCCTCGGGGTGGCAGCGGCGGTCACCGCTACTACCGTGACAACTACGACGACGATGGCCACGGCCGCCATCCGTGCCACCCGGGGCTCAAATTTCCCTGCTACGACGGCGAGTCTGATCGCTTGCCTTGGCTCAACAAGTGCAACGGCTTCTTTCGGGGTCACTAAAGAAAAGGTGTGGATGGCTTCTCTTCACCTCGACGGCGCAGCGGGGGAATGGTACTACCAGATGGAATGCGATTTCAGGATCGTGTCGTGGCCGCGCTTTGTCAAGTACTTGAACCTATGCTTCGGGCCGCCCATCCGCTCGAACGCTTTGGGTGAGATCAAGGCCCTCCAGTGTATGGGGTCGGTGGAGGACTACCGGCGCCAGTTCCTTGCCCTACTGTGCTGTTGTGAGAAGCTCACACCGCAACATCAGATTGATCTCATCACCGCTGGTCTAGGGCAGCCGCTGTGCTCTGATGCACCACTTAAAAAATGGAATGAAACTATCCCTTTGCACATCATTCTGCTATCCCTCTTAGATATATGTTACTTCTTTTGTTCCTTAGCTGTCCATACTTCCCCAAAGGCTGATGTTAAGCTTCCTCAAAGCACTGTTTGATTTGACCTAATGAACTGTTGAGGTGCGATTGTGCAAGTTACCATCAGGAGATCTGTGCGACCTAGTATAAATTAGCTTGCACGTTAGCACCACTTTCTGCATTATTTTGTCTTGCACTTTAGCATAACTTAGCTTGCACGTCACCTATCCTACTTTCTGCATTATTTTTTCTTGCACTTGCCCTGGTGAATCCTTGTGCAAAAATCAGAAAGTGGTTGCATACTCATGTAAGTCTTAGCTCCAACAACAACAACAACAACAAAGCCTTTAAGTCCCAAACAAGTTGGGGTAGGCTATCCATTAGAATGGCTAGATTTAACGTTGGCTCGCCACGCCAATCACAACCCTCCTCCTTTACCAGGGCTTGGGACCTGCTATGTTGAGACAGCATAGGAGGAGTTTAGTAAGTTAATCACTTGGGATGATAACCTGTGGGTTTATACCTCGCTTTCCGACAGATAATTTTTTGTTTCATCTCATATTTTCCCCCCTCGATGTTACAGATTGACATATGGGAAGACCGTAAAATATTTGATACTCAGGCACAAAGCCTCAAAGATGACTTTTTCAGGAGGTTAAAGGACATTAGAAACAAGTTGGTAAGTGAGTTGATTTATTTCTATTTTATGACCCTGTGACCTCCGTTGAGGTGTACATCATGGTTTCCATATGGACAGACAAATAGGGGCAGTGAGCTGCTGGAGAAGGTTGTCTCTAGCTACAAACATGTCCTGAATGCTCCTATGGATGAGGATACTCTGATGCGGAAATGCCAAGCAGCTCTTATCAATCTTGATGAACTCAATAAAACGTATGGAAATAACTCCGTTTTAGGTAAGCTATATGTATTCAAAGGATATTCTCACATGTCCTGTTATTATTTACTAGTTAATATGTAGCTCGTAGCATCCAGAAACTAGTGATTATGTGGAGTTATAGTTTGGTCTGCAAGTTCTTCACCTCTGAGTTGTGGTGCGCCACATCTGCAGGGTTTCCACAAAACCAACAAACTACCATGGCCTCAAGCCATAACACATTGATGTTTATCTGGGCATGGGTTTGTTGTACCTAGGTTGATGTAGCTTATGTGCAAAAGGTTTGCATCACACCTGTGTTGCAACCGAGAGATCCTTGAGCCTAGATGGTTTGTATAAAGAGATGCACTGTAATGCTCAAAACCCTCATTTCCATCTTTAGCAAGAGGAGGTTCAGTGACTAGATTTATTGTGTTTCAGCCCTATGCCCTGATGACATTGTCAATGGAACTTCTGAGCAATTTCTACCTTGAGTTGCCTCACAACAGACACAGCAATTGCATTCTTCCACTGCTTAGTTTCTTCAGCCTTGGCTAGATTCAGGGGTTGGTGGTGTCATGGTCTTTCCTCTGAAATATGGGCAGCAAGCAAAAGGACCTATGCTTTTGATGATCCTTTCATACTCACTGTTGGTTTATAAGGGCTATAACAAACAACTTCGAGCTTAGCTTTGTGACCACAATGAATGGTTCCCTTGGCTTTTGAGGGCACACACTAAATAAGTGAAACTTAATATCATATGCCACACGGTGTGCTATGGAAAATTGATTCATATAGCCTCATAGGTGGGCTGGGCACAACCCAATTGTTGTCCCAACCTCAGTCCAACCTGCTTAGATCCAGCTAATTTTAATGAGGTTGCAAGGTAGTAACTAGATTGGTTATCTTTGTGTTGTAGCTTGAATTTTCTGTCGCATATTGGCAGGTAGCAGCAATCGATCGGGCTTTATGCAGGAGCTGCGGGAACAACATAGCATTCTCAGAAACTCCATCGAACAACTCAAAATGTCAGAATCACTCAGGACCACTCTGATTTCTCATTTGAAGGAAGCGCTGAATGAGCAGGTGCTGAAGCAAATAACTCTGTAAGGTCTGTTTTATCTGTTAAATGGATCTTCCGGTGCTTACAGCGATTCATTTATTTTCAGGAGCTCAAAGTGGAACAAGTCAGAAGCCAGCTTCAGGTAATTTCCTTCAACCAGCATTGCTGTTTCTTCTGATCAAAGTTCACTTTGTGGATTCCTAACCACAATACACCTTTTCTATTTATTTATTTTTATAACATTGCTATGCCACTTATACTTCTCAATGAATAGAACTTCTGTATTGTAGAATACTTACAACTTACTTCACCTTTATGTGTTTGCGTACTATTATGTTTTGGGGCCATCTGTTTTGGGTTTAATGAGACTGTTGATTCCCCTTAGTAAAATGGTCACAGACTACTTAGAGGCAGGACCGACTGCTACCTGTAACCTTTGAATCTAACAGTTAAGGTTCTCTATGTTAGGGAAAGAAGCAGTTTACCAGATTACTAATGTTTTTCGGTTCTCTATGTTAGGGAAAGAAGCAGTTTACCAGATTACTAATGCTTTTCCACCATGAATCAGGCAGCTCAGCCCCGATTCAAGAGAGCTGCTGAGCTCTGCGTGGGGCTTGGAAGCAACATGGAAAGGCATCAGCCATCAAATCAAGGGCTTAAGAGGTCCAGCCTCTCTGATCCACTTAGTACTGTTGCTCCAGAAGCTGCGAAATCTCTTCAAAAGGGACAATCAAGTGTAGTGTTGTATTCAAAGGAGGGAAATGGTGTTGAGCACAACGTGACAGAGACAAAGCTTGCTGCAGGTGCTGCTTCAGACAATATACGTGGTGGTGCTTTGCCTTCACGTGTCAATGGGGGCAACACCATTGTGAAAATAGAAGAACACACTTCTGGTAACAAGAGGCAGAAGCTAGAGGACGACACACATATTTCTCAGCCTCAATCACAGTCACCACCACCACCGCTGCCCCCATTCCCTCATCCTGATGCATTTAAACCACCACCACCACAGTATCCTCCATCACCAGAGCCTAGCCCGCCACCACTGCCGCCAAATTCACCGCCGCCCCATATAATCCCCCCACCGCCGCCGCCTCCGCCCACAATGCGACCCCAAATGATCTCACATCTACCACCTCCAGCTGGTACGTTTGTACCTTTTCCTGCTGGACCACCTGGTCCAATGTATTGCACTTACCCACCTTTTACTCCTGTGGTCAACTTTCCCATGACCAGCCCACCTGGTTTCCCTAGTCCAAACCCGCCTCCACCTTTTCAAGGATTAGCGGGTACATTCTATGGCCGTCAGTTCCCCACCCCACCCCCACCAGCAGACAGGAAATAAGAGTAGTAACTTACCTGCAGATTTGTAGTGCCAGCAGCTTTGGCAAGTATCATACTAGTTTTTTTTTTGTTTCAACAGAGGATATGACTGGGGGGATGCATCGCCATGTGTTGTGGAGCTCAGAAGATTGTTCTATTGTTGTACATTTAGCCAGTCAGCGCGCAACAGTTAATTTTCTGAACTAGTTCTGGTCTTGGTCCTGGAGTAGAAGTGTAGAACCTGTAGATTTCGACTGCTAGAGGGAATTTGGATTTCTGAGAGCCGAGAGCAAATGCCTTCGACAGTTTAATAATTGACTGATCTAGTAGTTCTGGTCTTGGTGATGGTGTAAAAACTGTAGATTCTGAAAGCTTAGAGAGAAAATATGGAACCCAATAGGCAAAGACAAATGTTGTAGCATGACATGTTGTAACTCATCACAACTGTGTTCTTTGCTAGATCATCCGAGAACATGTAGATGTTCTTGTGATGTTTTGAGCGTGTAATTCTGTTGTTTGGTGTAAGATATGATGACTTCGGCTGCTGTCGATGGTTGAATCTTTTGCTCTGTTTTTAATTAGCCTTTTGCTCTCAGCTATTCTAGACCTTTTGCGTCTACTTTTGCATGTGTTCCCAAGTAATCTAGTGTTCTGCCTTGGTTTCCATGTGTATAGGAAAGCTATATCATGTTCTGGTGCCTCGGCATTGTTTCTCTCCTGCTGGCTGCTGCATTCAGGTAGGCATGTTTCAAGCACAGCTGGGTATTGCTCCCTGCCAATCTCTTGATAAAAAGGTTTGTTTTTTGGGGTGCAGATTGTCGATGGTGGATTGGTGGTTGCAGTGCCTTGTACGATTGATATTGGTCTTGAAGCATAGGGGCAATAATGCATTGCTTTAGTCTTTTGTGCAGAACCACCGATCCCGAGAGTGCTCCATGGCTGACTTGCTGGTAAGTCGTGATGTCCTGGTGGCCCAAAGTCTTCAATTTTCGTAGTGAAATATGTGTGCGATTCCTTCTGCGCCCATCGATCCATGTCTAGTCTAGCTGAAGAGAGAGCCCTTTTTCTTTACATTACATTACAGGGGAAAACAAGAAGCAACCCTAAGTCACTCGTTCGTGGCCCCGTGCTTAGACAATGTAGAGCCCAGTGCAGAGCCGTGTTGCCCAATATGACAGCGGATCGTGTTGCGTCTTTGTCGAGTGCCGACATACATAGAATCATGTCACCCCATAGACCACGCCAAGTACCCATTGACCAAGGTGGAAGATTACGGAGAAAAAAAACAAACTTCATTTCACACTAGGCAGCATGGGCCTGGATATATACGTGCTACCAGTCTACCCTGATGTGCCTGTCCGTGGGCACATCTCTCTGTGTAGAAGACTCTTGGCTTTGACCTTGAGAGGCTTCGCAGTCGCCGTCACGAGCACCCACAAAGTCGTGAATCCTAGCACCCCAATAACTGCGATTCGTGGGAAAGCAACACGACACGACACGGGCCAGGTTGCCTTTTCCTGCCGCGAAGCTACTCCCTCGCACACATTTTCGTCCCTTGCTTGTTCGCGTTCCAGCAATTAAAGATGGCTCCATAATCGTCTGTCACGCGAACAGAATCTCAGTCCTGCACTCCTGCTGCGCGTACTGTAATTTTCATGGCCTCCTCGGCCCCGCTACACACGAAAGTGAGGCACGACAACTCTCGAGACTTGAAGGTGTGTAAGTCCAATGCTGAAAGGTTGCTCACGGGAACATGGTCTATATATATATATATATATATATATATGATGTCAGAGTCAATATCAAAGGCCTATAATAACATATACTCCCTCCCATCATCACCAATCCATATCATATCCTTAAAATCTTCTATTTAAATGATGAGATTTTTCAGAACATTATGCACATATGAAGTTATGAACGTACGCACGCACGAATACATGCATTCGAAAGACTGAGTTGAAAGATGTCAAGATTGATGAACTCATCGGCAACGTCTAAACTGGACCCAAAAACCATACAACTGAGGAGAGTACCCCACTGATCCTAATAACTTTGGTACAACAACTGACAACTATCACAACTCCCACTACTTGATCCAACTTGGTCAAAAAGACCCAACTAACAACTCAACTAGTAACTAACAAGGACTAAAGAAGACGACGTCCCGCCGGACGACACCAAACAGCAAGGATCAACCGTGGAACTGGAAAGCCTAACCATGCCCTCAAGGAGGAAACGACGCTGAAAGCGTCGACAAGGTAGCCCGTCAAGGGAAGGTTTACACCTGCAACATCTAGTACGGTAGGAGAGGTAGGAAAGGACGTCTTCAAGAAGGGAACGACGTCCGCAGACATCGTCGTCCACGCTTTTGCCCCGACCTCAAACCAACTTCACACCGTCCACGCTTTTGCGTCTAGGCAGGGTGCGGCGATGGTTTAGCAGTAGCCCCGCCTAGACGCTGCCCCTAGGGACACAGACCAGGAGAAGCATCGGGGGAACCCACCGGAGAGTCTACCCCCCGCCGCAACCGGCAAAGCCAGCCAGCAGCAGGCAGAACCGGCCAGCTCCTCCACGAAAGCCAGCCCGGGGAAGGGGAAAGGCAGATGGCGGGGAGAAGAGAGCCAGGATCAGAAGAAGCCCCAGTCGCCCAGCCACCAGCGTCCCCACCCCTGTCGAGTCGGCCCCACAAAACTACGTCGCGCGACACCTCCAGCAGCCTCCACGCCGAACTGCCGCCGTCACGCTCGCTCCCCAGCCCTCCGTGGATCTAGGACAGACCACTTCACTGACACCGGGCGAGGAAGACGTAGGATGTCGCAAAGGGAGCGCCAAGCACCAAGCGCCCACAGCTCCCAGCCACCGGCGCTGTTCCTAGCGCCCAGGCTGGAGCCGCCGCCGTCGCAGCATGGGTTCCCCGCCAGATCTGGCGAAGAACCACCAGATCCGCCCATCCCCACAGGGGCGAAACTAGAGCACAACAGTGGGGGTGCACCACTTAACCATAACTACAATAACCCATATGATGTTAAAAAAAGATAATTAATGCATAACTACCATATTTTTACATCAAAATTTGACTTCTAGCAATAGCGATGAGAGAGCTCACCGATAGTCCTCAATACTAAAATCATCAGGATATAGTTTTGCTAAGTTCATCAAAGTCTCCACATTAAAATCATGAAACGAGTCCCTTGGACTGAAAGCGGCCGAGCAAACAAGCAATTGAGAGCTTGTCACACTAAAGCGGCTATCAAGCTCTTGAACTACCCAATCAATAACATCGCTAAAGCAATCCATTCTATCAATTTCATGCATATCACAAAACTCATTCACTTCATTTAATAATTTCTCCCACCCATCTCTTCTAATATCATATAAATGGAGTCTACATTTACAATGTACTCAACATTAGATGCAAATAAAAGGCAAAGTCAAAAGATTTGAAATATACTAGAAGATTTGATGCCTGATCTCTATTTTTACAATCTCTATCATCCTTTTCAACAACTTGTGGCACTTCAACTATTGTAGGAAACATGTTGACTAAACTATTGCAGTTATGGCTTAAAAAAAACTATTGCAGTTCTATACTATCAGAAATATATATTAAAAAAGAGAGAAAAATCACACTAACCCTAAACGGATTGAGGCTTAGCATGATTCAAATTCGGATAATCGAGGGCTTGATGAGTTGATGCCTTGCCTTTTATTTTGGATCAATCTCATGTAAGCCACCTCGTGCCGAGTTACAACGACGGCCGCCAAGCGCTTCATTGCCCTACTCCTCAAGATAGAGCCGGACGGGGCACAACACTCGCAATCAGTGTCGGCGTCGATCGAACCCTTGCGGACTCATGAAGCGTGGGCAGTGGAGTGCGTCTATTCGGGAGACACGAGTGGCAAGCGAAAGTGCTTGAACGCCGAGGCTAGGACCTGGAGGAAAACGATTCCTCCTCCTATAAGGAAATCTGCGAGGTGGGCTTGGGCCTCGATCTTTTCTAGCTTCTTTGCTTTGCTTCGGGCTCATTGGGGTGCCTCATTTTGGCCATGGGGGGGTGCACGTAAGGTGAAATGTTGATAGTTACAAGGGAATTTTGATTTTTGCCTGAGTGCCTGGGCACCACTGGGTCTAACTGAGCTTCGCCCATGATATATACTAGCCACTGCTGCCCGCGCTTCGCTGCGGGTGATGTGCTTGGTATACGTGGCTCATATGTCTAATATGTTTTCTCATCGCATTGGTACAAAAGGTTGGTCTATTTGGTACATTAAACGGGTAAATATGGGAAGGAAAGGTAACATGGTTTTTTTTATTACAATGTTGTAAACGAACATAGAGGTTGGTTGTCATTACATGGTGCCTATTGTAGGCCAGCAAATCAATGGCATATTAGTGGAAAGAAGTATTTGATGGAGTTGGCTCAAGCAACCAAGACACTTAGATTCGAAGCACAACATTGGCTAGGATTACATTATAGGTGGAAAGAGCAAAAACTACAACACAAGTATGTCTCATAACGCGAGGGTTTACAAAAGAGTGAATTAGGATCCACTCCCCTTAGGCGAAACTACAACACATTTCGTAAATCTGAAATCACACGAAAGATTACACGGCGTCGAACACTAAATTACACCGGGATTTAAAGTTACATGGTCAGGAGCAACCTAGTACAACCAAGGCTTACTCCAGAAGTCGGGATAGACGAGGGCAATGGAGAAACAACAAGATAATGATTATCCAAAACATGGCGTATGACCAACAGATCCAGAAACAGGAGACTGAGAAGTCAAACATCGTGAACCCTAAGACCAAACTAACCAACGGTAGACTTGAACTTCTTTGAAAACTAGATCCCTTCTTCTCAGATTACACCATCACCTCTGTCAGACGAACCTAGTTCCACAATGACGACTGGATCTCGTAGCTCTGCTTCGGATTCGAGAGGGATGAGGATGGAGGAGAAGAGCATGGACCAAGGGCATCTTATAGTGGCGAACGGAGATGTGGCGCAGCGCATC